AAGCATTTATTTGAAAAAAAAAAACGTGCTTGTTTTTCAATACTTAAGCAAAAAAAGTAGCAGAACAGATATATATATATATATATATATATATATATATATTATATATATATATATATATATATATATATATATATATATATATATATAGTCTGTCAATGAGAAGAAACTTTTCATATATTGAGTATTGAGGATTTTTGTTTTAATTGGAGTGAAAGGACCTTACTCAAGTGTGGAATACATGCCGCACCTTTCCAGCTATTGCATCCTCCTCATATATGTGCGTTACTTTTTCTTGATCCATTACATTAAATCCTAGTGAAATACGCTGAGCTTTGTGGCTGCAACATTTCACAATGTGCAAAGATTTGAGCATTATGACTATTTTTGCTAAGCACAACATCCTAAGATGAATAAAATATAATTTGCTCTCTTAATGACTGCAAGAAAATGGCATCTGTGTTTGGACAAAATACAAGGATATTAAAGCTTCAGTTACAGTAAAGTTTGATCGACATTCTGACTGAAATTTTATGGCCCCAAATCACACAGAATGACATTTAATGAATCCTTAATTTCTCTATTATCATAAAATCTGGCCTTAACCCTCCAAATAACCACATATTAAACAGGTGAATTATTGTCCATGTCAACATAAATGCTTTTGGTTTACTGTTTATCACCAAAGTGCTACTGAAACCCGAAAATGTCGAAGACAATTTGGCTATTTAAATCTGACAGTGGGATAGTTAATCAGTACCCCTGACGATAACTGCAAATTGCCCAAGATTATGTTGACACATCTTCATTGCCGCATGTAGGAGGGGGTTCGATAGCGGCAGTGCTGCCATTTATCCCGCCGGCAGCCTCGGGGGATTCTTCTTCTGCAGTACTCTTTTTAATGTCTGGCAATTAAAGGCTGTCGAACTGCCGGAGAGGGAGGATAGTTGGGGAGATGGAGGAAGCTGGTGCAAATGAAATGAGTTTCAAGGAGACAGAAGCAAAGGGAAAATAATAAGGAAACAGGTATATAAATAGATGTAGAGCATCTCACAAAATTACTCAGACCTCTTGAAGTTCTTCACATTTTGTTAGTGTACACCACAAACACTGCAGTGTCATAATGCATTTCATTGTAAGTTTTTTCACAGGCCAACAGAAAGAAGTGACTATCTGTGAAGTGAAATCAAAACAGTTACATGGTTTTCAGTTATCTTTACAACTAAGAACTTAAAACAAGTTGTGTACATTTGTATCTACCAGACAATTCTTTAAAGAGCCACCCATTGCTGCTGTTACAACTACAAGATGTTTAGATTGTGTTTCTATCAGCTTTGTACATAGAGAGAAAAGTAATTTGCAAAGCAGCTTAAGTTCAGAGTAATTGGGACAAACATAAGTTTTCAAGGCATTTCTCTTGGAATTCGGCCTAGTTTACTTCAAACTGGTCTAAGTTTATATGTTGACATAGACCATTCAATTGTAATTTGGCCATATGCATAGGGTTGTCTTGCCTTTGGATGACGCCCTCACTAGATAGACCAGATTTGAGGAGTACTAAGCTAAGTTAAGCTAAGTTTGTTCCCCCACCTCAACTGTAGCTCACTACAGCTCCTTCAGAATTCACTGGCAAAATTGTTTTAAATCTTATTCTGCTTTAAACATCTCCACAACTTTCTTCTTTAGCTGTCTGTCTTCTGTGTCCCTTGGTCTTCCTGGTCCAATGGTGTTCTCTGAAAAACCTCTGGAGCCCTCGTAGTTTAGCAAGATTTATTTTGAAATAGAATTACACGCTTAAAATGTGCCACACTTTTCCAATCAATATTTATATTTTTACAATGCTCTCAACAATAAGTCAACAGTAAAACAGCTAACTTTGACTTTCAGAAGCAAATTGAAAGCTGAAACTCTCTTCTGTTGTCCAATTAGTTAACTATTCCACCTCACAGCGAGAGCTCATCTTGTTGCACCAACTCTACCTTTCAGTGTCTTCTGCATGTCTCAGACAAGCTGTACAGCAGAAAAGCTGTTCGACAGGCAAATCTATCGTGCCTAGTTTTCACTCTCCGTAGCAGTTGATGCTAATGCTTTACATATCTATCAGACTGACAGGCACAGCATGTTGGTTTGTTTCACTCAACGGGAGAAATTAATCACACACATTTAGTACAACAAGAGAACATTTTAGCTCTGCATTAACGGCACTCACGCTGCTTTTGATGGCCATATTAAGACAATCGTCTCCGACTTTTTATTGAGGCTATTTGTTAACAGTTCTAACTTAACTGTCAGAGTAGACGCCTTTCTACGTGCTTGTATTCTTGTGTACGTTTACAGTATATGTTGTGAACAGCAAACGTCAAGGTTTTCAAGTTATTTCCCTGTCAAACTTTAAAAATACCACTGTGTGGACATGTGCCCCTTTTCCCCTGACAGCCTTTCTGTGAGCAAAAATATCACCAACAACGTTTTTCTCAACGTATTCCTCCATGAAAGGACAGTGTTAAAGTGGTCCCAGCAAATGGCAGCGCCCGTGTAAAGTAAATCATATTACAAGCACATTATAGGCAGATTACATCTATTAGTTGCTGCTGAGCCCCATGCAAATGGCATGCCCACAGGAGACCAGAAAATCGCTTTAAACTTCAATAAGTTACAAGCGGCGGTAAGCCGAGCCATAATCTGCACAAAGCCCCAGGCAGCAGCAAGACTGGATGCAATTAGAGAGGAAATAAATTTCTATACTGTAAATAAAAAGAAAGTAAAAAAAGAAGAGACTGATGGAAGTGAAATGAGCATTGTTAACTGAGATGGATTGGCTTTGTCATTGTTCAGTCCACAGTCATTGGTAGTGATCAAATAGAGTAACTATTTACCTGATGTAAAGACAGTTATAGAAAATCTTAACCTTTATGAAAATGCTGAGATTCCTTTTTCATACAATCATTTTGCTGAGTTCCATTACATTTTTGCAAACCTTAGATATATAACCTGTCATACGGCTACCTTGTCAGGAATTTAGACTCACCTGAAATAGTTACAAAATCACATTAAACAGTCACATTCTGGTCTCAAATCTAATTTTGTAATTCTTGTCTAACTCTCATATCTCTTTTCATAATTTTATTTATTTACACTTATACAAGAAAAATAAACCTTTAACTCATTAAAAGTTTCAACAAAAATATTAATAAAAGATAAGAAGAAGATTAGAACAGCCAACCCCACTACAGCTTTTCAGTTCTTCAGTGCAGTACTTCTCAGTCAGTCCTTGCTATATTTAATTTAATATTTTGGGTCACTATCATGTTAACATTTTTCCATAACATATGGTCATGCATTTCACTTAAAAATATTTATCTTAAAACAGTACGGTAATAATACCAGGATTTCTCTCAGTGTATAATAAGCCTGGTGGGCCACCAGGCTTTACTTGTGCCCCCACCAGGCTTAGCATTATTATTATTATTATTATTATTATTATTATTATTATTATTATTATTATTGTCTTTTTATGACTTTACAGTTACAGTTTAGGTATTAATCTTCCAGTCTTCCAAAAATGCATAACTATTTTAACTCAAAAACATGGCGGCCGACTGAAAGACTGCCCCAGTGCCCCAAGCACTGGGTTAACAGGTTTTCCGGGGGAAACCCTGTAATACTGTGGGCTGTTTAGGTTTTATGAATTTTAATAAAATGTTGTCACAGTGACGTCATCATATTGTTCATGTTGCAATAACAATGATAACATTAATATCTGTGAAATAAAAGTTTAACTCCTCTACCCCTTTCCAATGCTACTATTATCATCTGCAGGAATGTACCTGCCCTGCCATTCAGAAACAACCAACTGGAGACAGAGAAAGACCTTAGAGCTGCCAGTGATTCTCATGTAAACGCTGCTCAGTGTGCTAGTGGCAGCTTACCATTGCAGAAAAAAAGTTTATCCACTGTCGTTAGTAACCATGTTAACTATCCTGAGCACTCACTGCAGGCTTGCAGGCTTTGCTGTTGGGAAGAAGCTGTAGCTTAGCAGAAAGCAAGGGGGAGGTGAGCGCAGTGTTAGATTGATTGACAGCACTAAAACCCTCCTCCTGGCTCTTATTGATTGTTTCTGACCAATCGATGGAACTTTTGGGAGGTGCACATCCAATTATTCTTGTCATCACTCTCACACAGCATTTTAGAGAAGGAACATCTTCCTGACAATTAAAGTGGTGGCAGCGTGATGCTCTGCGGCTGCTTTCCTGCTTCAGGACTTCCTGCTTCAGGACTTGCAAGGAAAATCAGCGACCATGGATTATTGCTGCTGTCAGCATATTTTTCTTATTTATTTACAAATTTTGACAATTATTGAGTCAGCATGTAATATATGTCATTAAATTGAGCACTAGGAGAGATGCAATACGTTTATAGTGGGTGTGTGAATGACCTAATTCTTAGCAGAAATAGAGGGCCTCAAAACCAAATTTTGCACAGAGCCCCATGGAGGCTTGGGCTGGCCCTGGTGGGTAGGATTAAATAAGTGTCACTTCTTCCTACTCCTTTTCAAACAGAACATAAGTGGTAAACACGTGATTTTGTTCTTGGCTACGTATGCGCATGTTTTTCTCTGTCTCACTGATTTTTTGTTCTCTTGTTATTTTTTTTATTTTTTATTTTTTTAAACCTTTGATATATATTAAATGAATTGTAAAATGATACTTTAAGATCGCCACCTTCTTATGTTATTGTTGTGTGTACAACAGAGAAGTTTTGATGGGTTGTTTTTAAGCAGAAAAAAACAGCAGTCAGAATGTGGTTCGGACCCACACGGCAGTGAAAAAAATCTTAACGCTTTTGAACGTCCTACGTGTTTGGAATAAGTTAGAATCTTGCTGCGCTCTCTGCCCCGCCTCTCTCCCACCCGGCTTCATGCTATTGGTCAAAGTCAAGAGACTTCGCCTCTGATTGGACAAAAATTATGTCCGTCACGTAAATCAGGAATTGTTTCAGGAAGCAGTGGTGTGTTGGCATTCTGGAGAAAAATACAGACATTTCAGCCGCTCTGTTTCCTCACGTACGTAAACCAGGGGACGTATAATGCCGAGGAACCTCGCCTAAATAACTGTTTGTTTGTTTTTTTGACATAAAGGATAACTGTAAGTATGCACGATGATGCAGTGAATAGAAACTGCTGCAGTTAAAATGTGTAACCTTTGCAAAGTTGTGTTATGTGCACTCTCTAGTTAATAAAAATACTCGTAGTTTGTGTGCATGCTAATAAAAGAAACATTTTTGAGCTACAGTTCACAGAAATATTAAAAATGCAAATCATTACTTCTTCAAATAATTCACCCATTTAATAATGGGTGAATGATAATGAACATAATTTAATAAAACATACTTCTTTATGACTTCTTTTTATTTAAGAGTTGTTATTTGCTAGAGTTCATAACTATTTACTGCATTTAGTCAAACAAAAAAGTACCGACTCTGTTTTTTTGTTTACATTGAGCGCCTTTGCATATTCTCATTGAAATTTGACTCCTGGATTCTATGTTTGCTGTACTTGAGTTTTTCATGATCAAGTTTCTTCTAGAGCTCTTTGATTGTCACAGAGACATTGGTTTAAGGGACATGGGAACGCAGATGTGCACACACACTTTCCCTTCAAATGGCAGAAATCCTGCTTCATTTTTGGTGGGCAAAATTATAAGCAAATATTACTATTCTAGTTCTGAAAAGGCCCAGGTACAGAATGTTTGATCTTGCAGTAAGATCACCGATTGGCTACTTGGCCAGATAAATGACCCTGCAGCGGACCAACATGACATTAACTGTTGATTTTGGATGCATGAAGATTACAACTTGATGAAAACAGACACATACAGAGAAGCAGATGTAGAAATAAATTGGACTGCAAACGACTTCTAATCCAATGTTAGATTTATTTTTAACTAATCCAAAGATTCAGAAACTCTGTAATACTTGATCACTTTTTGGGTTAGATTTGGCAGGAAATAAAAGGTGGATAAAGTAAAAAATTAGGGGGATTCTGAATTTGTTTCTGTGCTTTTCTTCATTTTTCAAATGTAATTTTGAAGTATCGGATCGGGACACTCAAAATCAAATGATTTGAAAACCCTGATTGGGACATCCCTAAAATCTGAGGAAGTAAGACTGCACACAAAGATAAATGCTGCTGCGTTATTATTATTATTATTTTAAGTGCAGGTATAATCTTGTGATGTTGCATCTCGTTAAAGCAGCTCAGTACTTTCACTCTTTGTAACTATAAATATTAAGATTTTTAAACTTATTTTCTCTCTCTCTCCTGCTTCCTTTAACTTGCTGACTCTGGTTTCTGACTGCCTCAGAACAATAGCTGCACATATATCCTTCTCTCGCTAGCCCTATCGGGTTAGAAATGCATTGGTGAACAATGCTGTTAGCAGGAGGTAAAATTCAGGTGGCATCAGCAGCGGTCTCCCATGAGAAGGTATCAGTCGGGAGCAACAGCCAGCCACGCTACTTGAACATGCTAATTCGGGTTCTCTCTCTTCCTATTCCCCAGCTGCTTCTCCAGACTGTCCCGCTGCTTCTGTTCCTTTTGGATGCGGATAGTTGTTTTGCATGTACACATTTTTCTCTCTCTTACTTTTGAATACAATCTTTGTTTTTCATTTGTAGCTGTTGAGTTTAGCTATTTTGCTATGGATGGAGCTATATTTTGCTCATCAATACTCACCAAATTCTTGGTCCCTGTTGAAGAAATCAGCCCCACAGAATCATACAGCCTGCATGAAGATTGTGTGTTCACAAAGAAGAGCTGTGCTATTTTTCCATACATATTGTGTACTGACTGTTGGCTATTTAGGATTGACCCTTATCCCAGGCGTTTGATTTTAGCCTACGTGACAAACTCCATGCTGTACTTGTAGCTTGTTGCACTTCAGCATTTCCCTTATTTGTGTAGTGCATGAGAAATGATTATCCTGTCAATAACTGTGGATCTTTGCACCTTTCCTCTTCTGACCAGTCAGTTTAGGTAGACTGCAATTTCTTGGTACATTTGTGTTTTTTACTTTTGCATTGCAACCTACGAGACACTGAAATATTGGAATACTGTTTGGCAATGTAATACTATTTTAGGCTTTTCCAACTTTATTCCTGATCTTTTCTATTGTGTTTCTTGGTTGTCATAAAGCTGTTTGCTAACTAATGATATCTAACAAACTTCTGAGGCCTCCAAAAACAGCTGAAGTTATTAAAAACACACACACTGTTTAATAATTACGTGACTCCTGAAGGCAATCTGTTACGCTGGGTTTTATTTCTCTAGTATCAGAGAAACAATGGTTAATTACAGATTTTTATTGTGGCAAATGTCAAAAACCATGTGTTATTCCCCTGTCCTTACAACTATCTTCTGAACTGGTCTATGAAATAATATCCCAAAGAAATATCATATGTCATGTGATAAAATGTGAAAAAGTCAAAAGGATATGAATGTTATTTTTAGGACATTTTAAGTTTTAACAGTGGAAAAAAAATAAATAACTAAACGGTATTAAAACATTGCAGACATATGGGTTGACAACAATTCATAAACTACAGGGAGGTGTTTATTTCTTAACACAAATGTAGTCACCAGCAGGATACCGTCTGTATTATTCTTAGCTCTTTCTCTTTATATATTTTACCTCTGAGCTGTCAGAGTAATCAAAGAGAACTCATGGTGTGAAGAGAAACGGCGCTATGCTAAATGAGACTGATAGGAAGCTCACACTGCGAACCGAGCGCACATTGAAGGTGGTGAGAATTAATTTAATTATGTGCGCCAGATGTATGCGAAAAGATAAACCATCTGGCTGATCAAAACTGACTTACTCTGTCTCCGTATACGATTGTGCAATTACTTGAAGCTTTTCGACAGATTTTGCGAGTTATGTCTTACCGCAGCAGAAAATGGATAAAGGAGCTAAATTTGATTAAGCTAAATGCTTAGGTGTGAGCAGTGAAAGCAGCTATAAATGTTCTTTTTTTTCCCCCTTTTTTAAAATTTCCTCTTAGACATTGGAGGAAGGATGGGCAAGAAGGATGCCGGTACTACCAAGTTACCAGTTGATCAATACAGAAAGCAGATTGGTAAGTTTCCAGATGGATTCACATAACACAATCAGTACAATTGTAGCAGAGATTTAATGGAATTGTTTAATTTTAGAAGATATAAAAGGTTATATAATAATCAAAAGATTAAGTTTTGAAAATGAGTTCCTGATTCTCATCTAACTCACAAAGTTGATCTTTTACTTGTTGTTTTACTTTATACTGTTGTGTTTTAATCATTCATAACTAACTATAATTTAGTTTTAATTAAATGCTTTTCAAAAAATTTCACAATTATCCTAAAGTCCTTTTGGTTTCTTTTATGCTATCCTGTTTGGGGTTTCTGCAATTAATTTCATATTTCCAGAGTCCCAAAACATAATTTTTGTTTTCTGTTGTATGTTACTTCCACAAAATGTGAAGCGAAAACATATTTGCTCTCTTACTTATTTTTTTCTGTTTTCACATTTTTGTCACATGTAAAAGTTTCAGATCATCCGATTTATTTAAAAATATTAAACTAAATTAATTTCCACAAATATAAAATGGAGTTTTCAGTCTATTATTTCATTAAATACTCACAAAAAAGCCATCAAAACCAACTGTATGTGGAAAAAGTGATGAAGTCCCAAACGTAATGCCTGATTTTGCTGCCATTGCCAGCAAGAACAGCCATCAAGCATTTGTAATAACTGGCCGTTGGTGTTTTACTGAAGAGTAATGATATAATGACTTTATGATGTTATGTGTGCTGCACTTTTGTTCATGTATAATACTGCTTTAATTTGATCGTACTTGTGCGCATCATCCATCCATAGTTTGTACCCAGTTCTCCTTAGGGTTCTGATAGGGGCTGGTGTCTGTTGTCATCATTGGGTCAGAGGTACACCCTGGATAAGTCATCAATCTTTCATAGAGGTTCATCATCTCTTAACTAACCAAAAACAAAATCCTGACTAAAATTATGGGAAAGATTTGAATGAAGTACTCATATACCCATGGCTCATGTCAAATCCTTTGTGCTGTTTTTTTCTCTCTCTATGCTGGATAATTATGAGAAAATGCATTAACTTATGAAATAAACCTTGAAAACTGTTTTTAATATGGGCCTTCAGTTTCCTTTTCACTTTATTAAAAATACAATTTAATTATCTCATTTTGTGAGTTTCTTGCAGAGTCCTGAGACAAAGATGATTTCTTTTTTTCCCCCTATTTAATGGAGAGACATCCATGGTTGGTTTTGATCAGCATCTGCGATCACTAGGCAACAGTAACTGTATCTGTGGATGGTGAACAGGAATTAATGATGCAGAGCAGACAGTTTACATGCTGGTATAGAAAAAATTAAAGAATACATTGGAGTTGCAACAATGCAACAATCTTCTGATTGAAAAATAGGGATCAGTGCAATCTACTTACTGGAAATATATTTTAAGATATTTTGATTAAAGATACATTCCCAACATATACAGTCTTGTGCAGTTCTTACATACATCTATGTTCATATGTTTCATTTTTCACTGAAAAAAGTCAATCAATTAAAGCTAAACATAACACCACCTTGTTTTAGTTATAAAATAAAAGACAGAAACGTAAATTGATATTATGAAGAGTAAATTTAGGACGCCATAGTATTGGCTGGTGTTATATCTTTACTTGAAATCTTTTTAGTGAGATGCTCTTTGTAGCTATTAACTAGACTTGTAAGTTTTTATCTAAGATTTAGCTGTGCTGAGGCGTTTCAAGAACCTAAAGCCAAGAATTTTTATCATAGCAAGATCTTGGTTTTGATTTTGTACACGACATTATATTCCGTCATTGGTGGGTCTACTGGGATGTTTTATGTACAATTCTGCTTCAGCTTGATTTTTTTTTGAATCAAGCTGAATCTTGACTGTTTAATCAAGTCTATTTTGCCATTGTTTTGGTACATACGTGTAGTGCCACATCCCCTCATGTCCAGGCAACAGCATAACATTCTGTTTTCTGACTGTAGATCTCCTCCTTGCTGTCTTTCCATTTTTTTATGACTGTTCAATAGAACAGAAAAATCATACATACCACATGCATGCAGCTTATTTACGTGCCTTTCAAGGTAAACCTTCCCAAGAGACTTACATTCTCAAGAAGGTGTTTTCAGCTACGTCTTTGCTGCACCATTTATTGTATTGTTCTGACACACTTCCCCTCAGCGGATGATTGCTTTTTGGCCCCTTCTGCTTCACATCCTCAGATTATTCTGTTGTTCCTGGCGTTTCTTTTGTGTTAACAAGAATCACGGAGGTATTCATCTGTATTAACCAAAATAATTTCTAGTGGCTTGTTTTGCAATTGATTTAGTGTTTTTTCTTTTTTTTTAAACTATTTTATTGCTAATCTGTGATTTTCTTTCCTTTTGTTGAGAAGAAAAGAAAGACTTTGTATTCAGACTAAAATATGTTTTTCTGCGCCTGTTGAGAATGTCCATTCTTTTTCACTCTGCAGATTCTGTTGTGTTTTCATGTAGTGACAGATGAATAAGACAATGTAGTCTCCTGATATTCCCTAACCATTTGCCATTATGCTAAATCGTTCAGGTTCAACAAACATAACAAGCCCAGCTCCTGCAGTCACATTCAAGAAGAAGAGTAGAAAATTATATTTTCTTTCCTTCCTTTTTTTGTTGTTTTGTGTTTGTTTTTTGTGGCATATTAAAGCTTTGTCCCTTTTTTAGGAATAAATATCGTATTATACCACTGTTTAACAAGAAGACTTTAAAACAAACACCAGAAGTGTGTTGTCAATGTGGAAAATTTCTATCTTCTACAATAGGACAAATTCATCTAAGAGATGGAATTGGCAGTATTTATAAAGTCTGTATATCTCCTCCTTGCTGACTTTTTAATCAATCTGGAACTCGAATGAAAACAAATTTCATTCCATTTCAAGATTGTAAAAAGAATCGACAAGAGACAATCAATAAAATTAAGAGTTAACTTTAGTTCTAACCCTCGAAAATATATTTTCTACTGACAAACTAACACAAATAAGAAACTAGCAATCAAATCAGTCACAGTACTACTTCTAATCTTCTACTCCAGCTTAATTAATACTTTACTATAATTAATAGTAAAGCTATGTCCTACTCAGAATATTGTTACACAATTATATAATTGCTCTGTATTATGGAGCATGGCCAGACTTATTGGGAAATGCAAACTGATATGAAACCCCTCAACTGATTTTCAATTGCCTGGACCCATTGGCAAATGACCCGTATTCTTCTGAATATAACTGGATGAGCCTTCAGCCAGTCAGAGAAAATGAACATGTCATAGGGCTGCAACAGTACTGAGCTCATTTCGTTATCATTCAAACAAACTGTGATATTCTTAGATGTCTGCTCCTGTTCTGGTTTCAGTTAAATAGCAAATTTGTATGATGTGCAAGTCACACACCCCTTCCTACTCCTTCCCCCGAGTGCTCAATCAAATGTGATTAATTTTAGCTAATACCCCCTACCTGTCTCATTATGCTAAGCAGAGGAATGGATCAAGATAAAAACTAATTTCTCCACACTCTCATCAGACACAATTTAAATGCAATGTCAAGCCAGCTAGGGGGGAAAAACACAAAACACTAAGTGGATTGGCAGGGCAAGCCACTTTTATCCTCCTACTCTTCCTTTGACATTTAATTAGAGATTACTTCGGTGGCAGGTTCGGTCATACTCCATTTGAGCCAGGTGCTACTTCTACACCTCGACTTGAACCCATCGACTTCAAAACCTTCAAAAACTGGTTCGGTCTTAGACTTTGATGGTCTTTTCAGATCTGGCGTTAACATGTGTCATAGCTAATCCAGACACTAAAAGACCAAGACATTGACACAGACACATAAGCAGAGATAACTTTAACTGTGGCCAAAATAAAAAAAATAAAAATAAAAGATAAGCAAGTTTGGTGAGCTCCATTCACATGAGGCAGCAGTAGACTTGAAGGAGTTGTTGTACCAGTCACTGAATAAGTGCAGCTTCTGCATGAGCTTCAACTTCCCTGACTCTGAGGATCTTATAAACCCAAACCCTTTTAGCTGCTGGTTGTCTCTTCCCTTCCCTCCTTTTTCTCCTCCTCCTCATCTGTAAAAGTAATGCCAGGGCTCGCGCATGACAGCTTGACAGATACTTTCTGCATTCACGTCTCCAACTGAAAAACTGCACTTTTCGGGTAACTTTTCGGTCGCCTAGCAACTATTGCCAGTTTTAGGTATATTTGCATGGATGCGCCTTTCTCCCCTTTTCTGCTCTCCGTCACCAAAGCAATTGCAGGTCTGAAATCCACCCTACTTAGATGTGGCACAAATATGCAACATTTAAATCCTCGTTTACCACATCTGCTAGTCCAGTTGTCTTGCATAGGAGCATAAAACCTGCTTCAAACATCTGCTTCATTTTATTAGTGAATAAGAACCATCTGATTCTTATGTTGTTTTCATTTTATTAGTTTTTTTTTTTTTACATAATCCAGAGCCAAAAACTGCCTTGTGCCAACACTTACAAAGGACATAAAAGTGTTAATTGGGTTTACTTTTTGGAGTAATACATAACCAGAGGGAAAAATAAAATTGTAAAAAAGTATGCTAGGTTTATACTTCTTGTTCCACATTTTGCATAGCAATTTGACAAAACATAATCAAAGTAATTAGAATTTAAATATTGTATGTATATGTATTCAGTTTGTATTTATTAAATGTGTCAAAACAAACCCATAGTGGAAGATCTGAAAATACAAACTATACACAATGTGTTAAAGGATGTAAACTGTTGTTTTCACAACTTTTAAAATCAAGAAAACAAACCAGTGTACAGTTTTCTATCAAGACAGTGAATCCATGCGACACATCATTATTTGTATATGGGACTCTATTCTATTTTTACATAGAAAACATTTTGTTGGAATAAAGTGCATTTATAATTGGCTTGCTTACTTAAATAAAACAATGGAAATGATTATGATGCTTCATACCTTCAATAATTCTAGGATTTACTCATCTTCATCAGCAACAGATGAAGATGAGTTGATTTGGATGAGTTATTCAGTCTCTGTCTCTACTGATTTGATGTTGCTTTCTGATGCGATTTTACATGCAGTTGTTTACGGTCTGCAAAGCTTTGTACCATTTGTGTGAATAGCGAGGTAAGAGCAATTCTCTCCAACCAAATTTCCCCTTTCCATTTTCTGTCAAGTGAAGGAGACATCCAGTGCCCCCTAATGAATTCCCACTTGTTCACTGTCTGGTTCTGGCAGCATGCTCCCCATTTTTATTAGTCCCACACAGAGTCAGCGGGAGGCGAAGGAAGGGTATTGCACCTGAAGGAATGGAAAGAGAAAGGAAGGCGGAATGAATTTGAAATTTTAGAAAAAAGTTATGGGGGAGAACGATGAATATAAACCAAGAAAATGTCTTGTGAGATTAAGCCTTAACACAGAGCTCATGGTCATTTCTCTTTACTGTCCATAAGAGAGAGCGAAAGAAAACCTGCTTTTAGAATCGTATGCAAATTTCTATTTAATTTTCACCTTTTTACTGGTGCAAAGGATATTTTCTCCAAACACTTTCTCCCATAGTAGACTCCTGGATTATGCTTATATGTTAATTCAAGTTCTCTGCATGTCAAATGCAGGAGTCCTCATGTGACATTACAGAGGATGTTTTCCTGCTTCATACTAAAATACTGCTATTTCTATTGAAGCTTCAGAGATAAGTAGAGTGCTATGTTGTTTGTATATATTCTTATGAAAGTGAAACAGTCCCTAAACTTTACTCTAAAATAATTGATTTAACATTGTTTTCTTTTTCCAAAAATTGATGTTGATAATAACCCCTGACCAATCAGAACTCCTTCTTGTAATGCATTTTAACCATCACTGCAACTCATCTGTCAAAGTTAAGTAAATTCTGTTATATACTGTATTTGGTTTCAGGCATCATATCAAAGTTTGTTTCCATATTGTAGTTAAACTTAAATGCAACCACTACCATTATGAATTGTGTGATTACAAAATACTAATGCAGATCTGATTTTCATTTCAGTGGCATTTAATGACAAAGAAAAATAATGTTCCAGTGTTTAATATGCATTTGACTTCGTAACCCAGACAATTTGATCAGCAGATAAAGCAGGCTGCCATTTTGTGGGCTTGTTGACATAATTAACTGCACAAGCACAGTGCTCACATTACGCCATGCATGTGCCTCACAGCCACATGCATTCCAACAACAACTCAGTAATAGTCGTACTTAATTCCATGCTGTACAGTACCATCTACCTCAGTGATGTATCTACTCACCTCAGCATAAAGAATGCTTGAATCTGAGAATGAAGTTCATGGCTTGTCATATTTTCTGATTAATTTGAGTAATGATTATTGGACTACTTGTTAGTCTTAAGAGCATTGTATTTTGATACCCAGATCAGTTGATTCTTAAAAGTAAGAATAAATTAAATATACAGGATGGTAATGAAGCTGCACAGAAATTGTTCATAAGCTATCCATCATTACTGCGTTTGTGCACCGTACATCCTAAAGTGCGGTGGAGTACGGCCCACAATTTTAGGGTGTCTTATTTAACTTTTCCCTCATTCTACCAGACAAACAGGAAATGGACAGTGGTTTGTGAGACTGGCCTTAACAAAAACATTCATGATGAGAACCTGAACTGAACTAAGCTTCTACGCTAATTTACTCAAATTTTCAGCAGTTATTGACTAAATTTTAAGCACCAAATGACTCTCTTTCGCAACTACAACCACTCACCGTTCAGTAAGTTGTTGGCTTTCAATATGTCGTTAGCAAAGTTTTGTTTCCTGTTGTGTGATGTTACACAGGTTTTTCCTCACATTAATCATATTTGCAAGTTTGCCTATAAATATCGCTTGTGGGAGTCAATCCCAAAAGTAAGTCAAGTAAGCATAGGTGGGTGGTTCAGATTAGAAAGATTTTGTTCCGTTTGACAGACACTGAGTTACAGATGTGAAAAATATGAGTGTGTGGAGTACATCTGGGACAGCACGTCAGTCCATCACGGGACAAACAACCTTGGAAACACTCATACATAAAGTCAATGTAGAGACTAATTAATATGACAAACATGATCATATTAATTTCACAGTGGGAGGAAGCGAGAGTACCTGGAGAGAACTTATGCATTCACAAGAACATGCAAACTCCATCTAGAGTGAGCCCAGGTCAGGATTCAAACTCGGGTTGCTGCAACACTGTTCCACTATGTAGGCCTTTTTAATGGGCTATTATTGGTTATTACTTTTTTTTATGTATTAATGTTTAACTCACTACTGTTGCTTTAAAATTTCAAAAGGTTACATTTATCTTTTATGGTTTGAAGCAAAAGATTGTTTAACCTAGACTCTAAATTTTAGGCAATTCAATGGAAATTTTCCATGTCTAGTATCTACATTACACTTAGTGATGCCTCATAGTTTTATTTTTATCACACTTTCACTCACTGATCTGTTTTTTTCCCCTGTGTTCTCTAAATTTTAGGCAAACAGGACTACAAAAAGACAAAATCTGTCTTAAAGGCGACACGATTGAAAGCTGAAGCAAAGAAAAATTCCTCCGGATTTAGGGTAAGATTACATAATCTCATTGTCTCCTCCAGTGTAATTTGAGTGTATATTACATTCCAGTATATCTGCAATTACTCTTGTCTGCCTGCCTACCTTTTGTTTTTCTATTTGTCTGTCTGATTTAGCGTGTGCCTCTCTGGCTCATCTTTAATATTCCAGACTCTTTTCTGTCCTGGCTCAGGAACTCACTCTAAGCCTTTTGGGAAGGAAATGATAATGTCCAGATTCACCTTTCATTATGTGATGTGGCCCCACACTCACAGAAGAATTGTAGGCTTCAAACAGAATTGCAATGTTGTATAGGGTATGAAAAATGCAGCTGTGGTATTGTGTATACAGGAATGCAAAACGTTTCTCTAATAGTAGGGAAGTGCCACAATATTCTATTTGTTCAAGTACAATGATCTGAAAGACGCTATAAAGCTATTTTAAAGGCTGTGGGACTCTGGAGAGGTGGAGACATATGAATCACCTTAAAAGTTTATCATATTTGTTATTGTTATAACAAATATGATAAAGATAAAAAGTATTTTAAAATATTTGCAGTCTTTTTGCAAATTATATCGAAAACTGATTATTATCTTGGCTGCCATAGTAGTTACACTATGTTGTGCAATTGTTTTGCTAAGCAGCACACAGTAACCTCAGTTCAGGGCTCCAGAGTGTGACCAATTTGGTCCAGCTGTTCATGTTTATGTCGTGTGCTGCAGTCAAGTCGGCCAGGCTGGTCAGATGTACAGAGTAGATGCAGCGCAAATGAGGAGAAAATATGGAAAAGTTAAGGTCTGAGCAGTACAAAAGTCATTGCCACTTCTCTGACACAAAACCATCAATCTCACAGGTTGTGTGTAACATTCATGGATATGTTTTTTTCCGCTTTATTCCAAGTGAGAAAAACTGTTCTTCCAGTCCAGTCGCCCCAGATTGTGCTGCTAATAATGATGGCATTATATTTGTGCCACCAACTTGAAGGCTCACTGAGAGTGATGTAAATGCATCTCTTAGTGAAGAACCAATTTGTGGTGAGTGTGTTTTATATCTCAAAACGCACAGGTCTGGTGTATCCTGGTGTGTCCTCCTTCGCTGCGTCCGCAGAGTGTATGTAAATGAGAAATTTGTCAACACCCCAGCCTTCCTTTCACCAGTTGTTTTTTTCTTTAGCCAATTAAAAAGTTGTTCTGTTTACACTCATAACAAGCCAGCCCCTTCTTTTCCTCATTAAGCCTCAGCGGGCCACAAAGAGCTTAAAGAATGAGCAAATCACATCCAGCATTACACACTGGGTGAAATGGTCAGGTTTTAAAATATGCATCTCTTAGACATGCAGGGCCTCATTAACCACATCTTTAATCCAATTAGATTAGTCCATATCTTGAAATATTGATATCAGTCATGAATAATTTATGTTTTTCGTGCCCAAGACGAGGGGAATTTTCAGAGGTCGGATTAAAAATACCTCCGGGATGAGGATATTAAACTGACTTGGACCTCTTGGCCGAGAGTTTGATTGAAATTCCGCCTAAATGTAATGAATATTTGGTCACGCTTGCTTTCCCATCAAGTTCTTTTTAGCATGATGTGAAGTTGGAAAAGTGTTTCTTTTTTTCTGCTTTCACACAGCCTTACGATGAATTCAGAGAGCTTTCACTGGCCTCTACATCTCTGGCAGACGGCGTCCATTTCTATTAGTGTTCGTACTTCAGGTTTGACTGCAGGTGTACCTCAGTAAATATTTTTAAAAGTTAATTTATTTCAGTAAATTATTCAAAAGCTAATTAGTAGATTTATTTGATATACCTCAAGTGATGTTTATGACAAACATTTAAGGAAAACCGTATATTCAGTTTTTCAAAAAATGTGATTACAAAACGATATTGCAGAAATGCAGACCTACTGAAAGCTGTGTCCATGTTCTGTACAGCTTATGCAACCTGCACTTGACCAGGGCTTTATTTGCTTGAATTACTGAATCCATGTAGCTTGGAGGCAATTTTTCTACATTATCTGCTTCAATAGCCAAACGGCTTACGCGAATAATCACCAAATCACCAAAATTAAGTGCACAATTTACTTTCATTAAAAAAATTATTTTGGACCATTTAGGCTAAAAAGTGCTTTTCTTTTTAGCCTGGGCTTTTGATGTTTTCGTTGGATCAAAAAAGTGGCTAAAAATGAGGATTGCAACAATTGCTTATCGTTGCTGTGGAGTGAATCTTGACAAAACTGCTCAACACTCTTAAAAATGGCTCATCATCTCAGGACATGCTGGACAAAGAGCGAGCAGCAGGTTTATTCAACCATACTGTCTTGACTGCATATTATTGGAAGCTATTACTTAAAGTATCACTTTAAATTTTAATTAATGAAGTAAAGTTTGTGTGCCTGTGGAATAAATATAGACATAAACACTTGAAATATTTGTTGTGTAAATTATCTTTTGACTAAAAGATAATTTCTAAAGTATGGTAAAAAATAAAGTATGGTAACTTATTGATGGTTAATATTTTGAGATGCACCTGTATCTGTACCTCTCTTCTTCTTTATATGAGACGCCTAGAGCGGATGCAGATGGTATCTCAGAAGGCCCAGCAGACATGCAGGCATGGAGAATCTGGCTGCTGCCAGGGCAGCCTGTCTCAGGGCTGTCCTAGTAACAGGACAGTCTGGATAAGTTGGCAAAACGAAGGATGGAGGCAGGGCAGACAAACTAAGAAAGTGCCTGATGAACAGTAACTATTTATTATGCTTTCTGCTCAAGTAACCAAAACCTACCTGCAGTATTAATGAAGACACTCGTTCCGCGTGGTTTTACAAAAATAACATGTAGCTGAAATATAAGTCCTCTTCTCTGCGTTGGGATCTGACAGCAGTGAGGAAGAAACTGGCAAGAAGATCATTCTACGGTCTGTCCTTCAGATTGCCTGGAGAAGAAGCAGAGCCTTCAGAGTAGCTCCAGCAACATTCTCCTGCAGCACAGGAAACAAGCCTCCTGCCTCGTCTAATTGGCACAAACAACCTTCTGTTCACTTCTGCACAGCTTTTCCCGCAGTCTTATTTAGCTGCTGAGTCTAGAAAGTTGGGTGGGGGAAATTGCTCATAGAATTGGCAGAGGATGGAGAGTACAGATGATGACTCTGGGTATACGCCATCTGTCATTTGTGTTGTGTGGAAACTAAGTTGCAGTTCTTTATTTGATTTTTGCCTGTTTTGTAAAGGTAGTGAAGATAGAAAATAAGTGCAGTGTCAATTCGGCATTGGATGTACAACTGGTAACTGGCCAACAAGAAAATTACTACTAACTACTAACACGCAATAAACCGCTGTTATTTTTATTTTTGTGTAAAATGTAACACATATGCGTTTTGCAATATTGCTAAACTGTTGCAAAAATGGAAAAGAATTTGGTCAGGTTTTAACTAAAGTGTGACTAACCCCCCCACAGATAACCAGTCTAAATAAGTTCTTTAGGTAATTTTTTTTTGGTCAGTATCTCGGTAAATGTCACACAATCTAGCATTCGGGTGTAAACTCAGACACATGCCCCTACTGGTGAGGCCATGTGCAGTTCTGCATAAAACACAGCCGCAGACCACTGATCTGTCACACAACTGCAAAACCTGGGCTTGGTGCCGGGAAGGGGAGGCAGATGCATACAAAAAGTCTCAATTTAGTTTAATCATGTGTCTCCGTCAGTGAGAGACGATTTCGGCACTTTTGATGATGTATAGGAGAACCTTTAATCACTTCACCACCTCACCTTCTCTTACTTTCTAAAATTGTGCTAAGTTTTATTTCCTTTGGTGTTTATGTGACTTGCATTCTTAGTTGCGTTAGCATTTGTAGCTAAATGGTTTTCTTTGTACATATTCTCTGAAGATCCAAAAGGCTCCCAACATTTCTGACTCAAAGGTTGAAAACTATGTTAGTGTAACACCTTCTCACTCCCTGTTTTCACGTTTATTTTAATTACTTGATTCACTTTTTGTCAAAGCGCAAATAAAAATATATCTTTGGGCGTAATAAAGGGTTATGTTGTGAACATTTTCTTAACCGAATTAGCACAAATATGTTCCCAATAACATTGATTCTGGTGTTTTTACTCTTCCAGTGACATAGAGAAAGGGCTCTGAAGAGTTGGTCTTACCCATATTTTATTTATATTCCCTAAATATTAGATTAGAAAAGAGATTTTTTTCTTATGCCTCCTTCAAGAAATGTAGCCAATCAGAGCTCGTATATAAACGAGACATTTAAGCCACATGGAAATAAACTCTGAAATAGTTCAAGTGTTGCTTGAACTCCTGGAGTTTATCCGTGCTTCATATCTGCAGGACGAATGCTCCAGCAGCTTCTGTGTCTATCCATTTGCAGACACAAACAAACGTAGGTGCGTCCAGATCGATGTACGCATCCCCACACAGGCTCACACAAACAAACCCAGGAGGGGAATGAAAATCAAACCAGATGAGAGGACGTCTGCTGAGCTGTGGCTCGTCGCCAGGGCGACCGGCACTTGCGCTTCCAGCATGCCGAGTTTGTTGCAGCTGGCGCCGGAGCTGAGGGAGCCGTGTGATGAAGATGATGATGTGCTCAGGCCCCCATCCAGTGGTCTCCATCAAAATGTGGGCAGAGAGGCTGCGAGTTTGTGTGTGAGGGTGTGTGTGAGGGTGTGTGTACTTGTGTGCGGTCTGCACATGCAAGTGTTTGCGGGCCTCGACTCAGTGGGCCGCTCTCCTCGAAAACAATGATCTCAATCAAGTGCAGGTGCTTTGTATGACTTGAGTGTTTGCAGCAAAACCCCTCCAGCTTGTTTTCATAGTCGAGTTACTGTAACCAGCTGTTCTCATAAAGAAGCAGGGGAGGGAATATTGTGTCTCCTTTTGTTTCGGCAGATTTGGTAAAATGCGTGAATCTGGAGCGAACTGCTTTCTTTCTGATGTTTTTTTTTTTTTTTTTGTCAAATAGCTTCCGTCTTTATTATATTTTCAAAGCTGCCAGCACAGAAAAGAGAAAAGCAGAAAACAATCAAGGCTCCGCGATTTGATCACCCTTTCCTTTTTCTCCGAGGCCCGGGCAAAATGGAAAAGTAAATCAAGCGGCAGGAGCCCGACGGGTAATATATGAAGCTAAAGTGCATGAAATTTAAAAGTTTTCCAATTAAGAGAGGACTTTAAGCTGTTTGGCGGCTGCTGGGTTGGAGATAAATGCGGGCCAAGGCTAATGAAGACCAATGCGGCTGATGACAAGACGCTGCAACGTGTACACAGATAGCTGGGTTGAAGCTGATGCTTTTTAATTGTCAAACCCCCAACCCCCATCGTCTTAGTCAGAGAGGAGTTATTATTATTAGCCCCCTGCCACCTCTCATTTGTGCTCAGTCTTATCTCTTTGTTCTCTTGTTTTTCATTTGTCATTTCTCTCTGCAATTTGGCCGTCGGGTCGAATTTGTCTGGTGCTTTGTTGTTTTTTTTGTTTGTAATTTTTTTAATTTCTGTTTACTTTTGATTATGAAACCTGAGAACTGACAGAGAGTCTAACAAGATTATAACCTTGAGTAAAAAAACAACAAAAAACTGATTTTTAAACAAAAGAAAACATGCAAAACATGATTCAAACATGATATATATGTATATAAATATATATACATATCAGTTTGTAAAAAAATATAAAACAAATATAAAATAAATTTCATATTTTAAATTTGTATTAATATTACCTTCATATAGCTTCATTTAAATAACAAATATGTATTAACTAGCCATCAGTCAGGTGTTTAACAGACTCACTGTGAAGCAAACTTAAAAAAATGCTAAACTTTGCCCTAGTGGGTCTCCTATAGTACCGTGACTTTTTAGGGGCTAAAAATAATTGCAGACTGCTCAAAAAGTTGTCAGCCAGCTGACCAGCAGTACGCAGCAAGGAATTGGGGAGGAGAAATAGGGCAGATTTAATCTGTTTCACGTGTCCATCAAATACTCTGGTCACTGCTGGATGTTCTCTCACATCTCACTTGAATCAGACGGAAGATGCTAAGAAACAGCAATATTTGAAAACCTTGGCATACTTCATACCAGTAACCTGCCCACGCCTACAAACTGACCAAGTGTGTCAAAATAAAGATAAAAACTGAATCTAAAAAGAAATGCGGAGGTTTTAATCATGTTATAGCTTTGACTTTCCCAGGGTCACATTCCTTTTCTGAAAACTAAATATTTCTTTTTGAATAACCTTTAATCAGGCTGCACTCTGCACTCTTTCACAGCCCTCCAAGCTCTCTGGTGCTGATTAGAAAGTTTGCAGCTAATGAGTTCTCTTGATAAAGAATTACTGGCATTGTTCAATACTCTGAGTGCCCCTAATGAAACTCCAGCTGATGAAGATTGTAATCGTCTGAGCTGCACATAATGAACAAGCGCTCCAAATTCCCATTTTCAACTTGAATACCACTTTGTTGGAAAGCCTCAATTTGTTTGACAATTAACCAATAGAAAATCTTTAGAAAAAAAAATTAGGCCATTTTTGTCGAAAAAAAAAAAAGTTTCACTGTGAAGATCAGAGGTGGAGTTCAGCGTCCTGGACACTGAATTTTATGACTTGTGAAATTAGATTTTTCCAGTGTATTATTTTAAAACATATGCAGAGACTGCATCATTTATTTTGCAAAGCTTAATTTTGCAAGTACATTCAGATGTATTCTATATGGATCCAACACTGTTTTCTTCATCCTCTATTACTGGTGACCAGGAGGTGAAATACTGGCAAATAACCACCTAACCTAAAATGATTTTTGATAATGTATCAAAAATCATTCAGCATTTTCTGTCTATAAATGGCTCAGTTATAGAAATGTATAAAAACAGAGAGAGGTTTGGCATTTATGTTTCGCTGCATTCAAAATTACTCGCAGCAAAGAACTTGTAGCACACTTCTTTTATAATACTTATTGGAAAGAAAATTTCTGGATCGACAAGGTTTTGTAAAAACATGTGCATCTCCAATTCTTCCATCTCTCTGTAGAGGCTTTAATGGTAAAGTGTATTGAGCCCTAGATTAGATTGCATACCAGTTTAAAGAACAGCTGTGCAACTTTAATGATATTTCTGTTCGAGCGGAACATTAATGTTTTGAAATTTTCAGCGCTTCTTCCTCAGAAAAAGAAAATCTAGAATTTGCCTTCCGGAGCTGTTCTGTGTTGAATTGTGGGTAGATCACTGGCAGAGAGCTGCAGTAAACACACAATAGTGTGCTTTGAAAGCAAACATCTGGACTCAATTCAGATTTTCATGAACTTTCCAGAAAGTGCAGATTGAATTAAAAAAAAAAGGGAAAAAAAGCATATGGAGTGTAAAATCTGCCTTGGTGAAAGTTAAATATTTTGCTGATGCAGTTAATTTAAGGAACTATGTAATACGTGTTTCCTGACCCACATGGTGTCATGTGGCCTGACATTTCTTTTAATCAACCAGTTCAACATACAGATAGAATTTAATAATTGTAATAGAGACTGAGATGTCATTATTTGCTGCATTTTTTTTTAGTGAGCTTTGTAGAGATTTTTTCCCCCTTTTTAACTAATTTTCCATTCCCCAACTGTCTGTAGTGATGAGATAAACTTGGGTCATGATCTGGCTTTGTTTGTCACAACTTCACCTCGTTTAAATTCCTTAATTGTTGCTTTGTCCATTATCACCTGATTAAGCAAGTCTAGATCAGCAGATTCGTCGTTGTTGCTTGTGAAGATCAACAAACATACATCTAACTGAATGGTATGTTCTCTTGTCTTCCCCATCTTGAAGACTGAAGTATTTGCACATGCTTCAGCTTGAGTTAGATTTACTTGTTTTTTTTTTTATTTTCAAAAGAAGAAATTGTTCAAACAGTTCTCCTACAATATTTTAATTGTTATGAAAACATTCATTAAACCTTTTAGTAAAAGTTGATTGTCATTGTACACATTTTTCTCCATAATTCTTTCATGAAGGGTGTTTGCTAATTACGAATCTCCGTCACCTACTCGCTTCTATTTCACCGCTTAAGATTTCCTGCCATGACTGGGTGTGTTTGTGTCATTAATGCGCAGATGGAGCCATCAGAAACAGAACTCCCACTGTGGAGGCTTGTTTTACTTAAAAGAAAGCAAAAGCCATTTTCATGCAAATGCAGGTATACACAAGAAAACACATCTGCTTTCGTTTTGGCGTTCTGTCAGCCCAATAGCTTCTGTTTTTCCTCTGCGGTGGGAAGAATAAAGAAGTGATTATTATGAAAGAATCCCTTTAGAGCCGAGCCAAAAGGCGGTTAGATTCTGCATGAGTGTGTGTTCCTGTAAGTGAATTATATAATCCAAACACCATGAGTCCTTTGTAATGTTTGTCTGATTTTGCAAATAAAAATAGTGGATGGACCTCTCGTGTTCTTCCGGACAGCATTCTCCCAAGTGTTGTTCTTCTTCTGAAATCATGCTGTTTCTCCTCAAAAGAAACCAAGAGACAAATCAATTTAGTATTGCTTTTGCTTCTTTGAAATGTCACTTTCATTTTTGACTTTTTTATTGGTTTTTATTTTGCAGGCTTTGTTCTGTAATATAATTGCTTTTAAAACAGCTCAAACATTGGATTTTTATTCTTCTAAGGCAACGTGAAACAAACTGTTTCTGGGGTGCTGTGAGATTAGATGGGAAAAAAATAATGTGGAAATTGCATAAATAAGTAATATGTAAACCTTTTCTTTTTCTCTTTAGAATGCATTCCTGGTTATTGCAGCGATTTTGGTCTTTGTCTTCTGCGTTTACGCCTTCTTCTACCTGAACCTGAGCACAGAGATCAACCTGGATCTGGACATGGATTAACAAGTTCTGGACCGTAAACCAACGCCTTTGGTTCTTCCTTTTTTGGGCAAAAAAGTCAAATATGTGAAGTAAACGATGCCTTTGCTAATTTTTTAGTTACCACTCATTCAGACCAAGATATAATTTCCCTCACCTTTGGCTGTTTGAATATAGCAAACAGTGATATTCTACGCTTTATATGCAGTAAGGAGACTTTCACACTGTGGGGGGTAAACACATCAAACGTTGCAGCTTCTTGGGTTTGGTTAATTTTATAATTATAATAATTACATAGTTGCTGTTTAGCCTTCAACAGTTTTTTTTATCCTCTTAATTCAAAAGTATTTTTGAATTTGAATGAAATTTCAGTACTTATACTCTGGAACACAAATGTATTGATTAGTTTTTTTCTGGGCCAATAATTTTTTTCTGTGTGTGATTCGGGTTTTTGATTCTGACCAATTTCTGTTTTTCGAAGGACTAAAACTCAAAACTTTTTGTTTCACCAACTGAATGTAAAGTTTTTACAAAGCAAATTTGTACAAGAAATGTACATTTAAAAAAAATATTTTAATTATCATGCATTCAATTAATAAATTTCAGTATTTGAACAAATGACAGACCTAATGAGAAGACTTCTAGTTGCTATGCCGATTAATTGGTGCATCACTTCTGCAATAAATCCCCTGATAAATCTTTATACAGCAAAAACAATGAGCTTCTTTTTACGCCTCTGAGCCGTGCCAGTCATACCCCGCGCAGTCACGTCCCTTTGTTTTCCACCGCTAATAGAAAAATGTAAATCTGCTGCAGCTACAGACAAACCCCTTCCTCACATTCCAGTGCACAAAGCTTTCCTCGTGGATATCTTGAGATCACAAAGTGTGAGATTAGAATCCACAAAGCCCTGGTCCTGATTGAACATGTGTGCAGAATACAGAACGCCACAGTGCACCTGCTGCACACAGACAGGCCCGTTCAGGAGATCTGCTGCAAATCCAATCCGGTTCTTTTATTTAAATAGAAATTAAAGGCTTAAAGAGTGGAGCAGAGAACACAGGATTGTTTTTCCCTTTCTATTTGTATTAAGAAATATGAAGGTTGTTCAGAACTTTTTTTCTCTCTTTGTTCAGCCAAGCCATAAGAAGTGACCTTCTATTTACTGTTTAAGCCCAAGTTCTCCTACTCTGTTTTATTAGCAAGCAAGTGGACAGTTTTTCTTGAAAAAATTATTTTCTTCTCTTTTTTTACTTTTTTCTGTGAAACTTTTTTTTTTTTACAAAAGGCAATACCAAATACATAAGCAGCTTCTCATTTCTAGCCTTTTTTTTCTCTTCCCAATTGAATGAAGGTCTTAAAGTCTGAGTCTGATTGTGTTCTGCTGCTGAAATGCCTCGTGAAATGTGAGACAGATTTTCCAGCTCTCAGCTTGTGTTTTCTCCCACAACCTTGCGACCTCTTGTAAATAGACTACATGTCAAAGAAGCCATTATGATTAGAACACACTCGTACCCTCAACCGTGGGCTTTTATCACGCTTTGGTACATCGGGACCCTCCTCCTCTTACACTGCGACTCGCTCACGTGTGTAACAAAGGAGAGCCGGGCCTAATAGACCTTCAAACATGACACCTGTTATCTAAAAGCTCACCATTACAGCTGCAAGAGCTCTGACATCAGAATAATGGAAAGACTCTGTGCTTTTTTGTATTGGCTCAGATGATATGTTTAATATTTGTGTAATGGTTTCTACTATTGTTAAGCCTGTGAGAAGAGTGCATGAACATTACTGTTTTTTTTAAAGGGGTTTTGAATACTTTGGATTGTCTCAAATTTTCTACTCTGGAATGTAAATTGATCTGCTGTTAAATTAAAAAAAATACTGCCTTATAATCACAGTGTCATAAAATTGTTGATTTTGTGTGAACTAAACCTCGTTTTTCTCCTGAAATGTAAACCTTTGGTCCTAAACTTTTCCAGCTTAAACCTTGCAGAGCATCAGCAAACTAACCAGACTGGAGTTTGTGGTAAAAGTATTAATTTAACTGCAGTAATTAAAGCAAAGCTGTATTTAAACTCATCACGCAGTCTGAACTTTAGATGACGCACTTTATTTACCATAATATTTTATTATTCGTTTCACAGGTTTGCTGTTCTTCCATGTTGGTGTCATTATAACAAGCCTATAAAGTTCATGCAAAAATGAAGAAAGAGGTGAATTGAGATAATATTTATGTTTTTCATTTTTTTTAACTTCCATCAATCTGTGGAAAAATTATGCAGCAACAATTTTAGTTATTCAAAAAACAAGAATAGGACAAAGAAGTTTGAATTTATTATTGATTTTTCTAATCCACCAAGGCCAACTATCACTAATATTAGATTATTAAACTAATATTATTAGTTTAAAGGTTGCATACCAATATTCTCAGGTGCAAGGTTTACATACATTAATAATATAATTATACCAGCAAGATTCTGGTATAACTGTGTACGCATACAATTGTGCATACACAACCAGTATGAACTCAACCAGAATTTCTGCCATTGCTATTACACCAGTTTTAGTTTTTTTTTAAATGCTTGAAGTTAATGGTTCCAGCATCATTCCACTGAGGAATTGATTTGAATACATTTCTAAATTCCCAAGTTTAATAACATTCATGATTATGACATTTGTTTGTTACTATTTGATTAAAACCACAGTTACTTGATGGATTTTGAAGATTACTGTTTGCATGTCAGTAAGATCTGTTAGAGTCCCCTGGAATAAGCTGCAGCATCTTAAAGGACATGGTGCTTAGTGCAGCACATTAATTTACAAGGACAAACATGGGAAAGACATAATTTGATGTCATGACATTTTCTACCATCCGTGAGTTCTCCTTGTCTTGCATTTGCTTGGGGTATTAATCAGTACCTCTGTATGAGTATTTAGCCTTTATATGTCAGCAACATTTTGATGGAGCTCAAGCCTTACCCACCATCCTGTGACAAATGAGCCAGAAACCCAGCACCCAAACTTTGCTCATTAGTCATGTAAGGTACGTCACCAAGAGTGATTACGCTTTGCCTGAAACCTGCGTTTACACCAGCTTGCACACGAGAATAGCAGGTCGTGCTCCACACTTCACCACATTTAAAACAATGTGAGGCATTCTCACATTGTTTTAAATGTGCTGCTTATCTTGACATGAATCATAATTATAAATGATGAGTATGCTGGGTTTGGTTTGGTGATTATTTGCCTTCGCCTTAAACAAATGCGTTTGGTCGCATCCTCTACTGGATGTAAATGTGGATTGACCTCAATTTATTTTCACTTCAGCTTTTAAATGGTGTGCTCCTCTGGTTTGGTTCCATTTTTGTAAGGCAACATATCAATCCTGAAAAGCCTCTCTCTAGCGTCCACCTGCATGCGTGTGTGTGTGTGTATGCGTGTGTGTGCGTGTGTGTGTGCGTGTGTGTGTGCGTGTGTGTGTGCGTGTGTGTGGTATTTTCAGCTCTCAGAACCGTGGCTGTGGCTATGCTCCAGTGAAGCAGTCAGTCTCTCTGACAGACTAGTGGGAAGTGAGGAGGGTCAGTTCCTCCAGAAGCTCATTTAGTCCCTATCTCTATCAAACACACACACACGCCTGCATGTGCACGCAGTTTCTCTGAGCTTCTCTGACAAAGCGGCTCTCTCTCCCTCTCACTCACACATGCACACACACATGCAGACATACACTGTTGCAGTCCCATTAGGGAGATATGGTGAAGACAGGGCTGATGATGCGTGTCACACAGTACTACTGCTGGGCTCACACTAATGTCTTCTCCCTCTTTCTTCCCCACCGTCATTCATTATTTTCTACTTGCCATTGGCTCACTCAGATTCGAGCTGTGTGTTTTTGTTTCTGCATTGGAATAACAAACGTAATATGTATTTGACATTTGTATGTGCATGCCAAATGAGGGATTTCATGATGAATAGAAATAAGGTTCGCGTGAAGAGATAGATACTACTTCCAATATTCATCACAGCAGTGTCAAATGAATATGAAGAAAGCATATTGCAGTCAACTTCTGAAAACTACTGTCACTATATTGTCCTAGTTGCACATCAACCACCCATCCATTGTCTCTTGCCAGCTTGTTGTTGGAGATCTCTTTGTGTTCCCAGTGCAGAAAGGATCTATCTGGGGATGTACCAGAAAAACTCTCAGGAAGCATCCTGATCACATGCGCAAATTAACTCACCGGACTCCTTTTGATGCAAAACAAACTCCGATGCTCTTTTCTTTTTTGGCTTCTCGTCGTAGCTTCTATCAGCTGCCCTGATCTCCTTGGTCAGTTTGTTTTCTTGCCCGCTCCCTGCTGTGCGAGCCTCCCCCTTGTTCTTTTGCCATGTGAAATGAAACAAGTTTTACTGTTGCTGTAGGTGCGAAAGATCTTTGTCTGCACACTCGTCCTAAAAAGGCAAACTGATTAAGGGAGTATCAGTAAACTGTTTCAGATTAGTGGGTGAACCTTCAAAAAACCCTACAGGCGCCTCTGGTGGAGGCCAACACATAGTGTCACATTATTGAAGGAGCGTAATCTGAATGCCCGAAAGCCGCTCGACTTCATCTACTGATGATTGTTTTGGATTGGGTCATTAGATGGTCACCACATTTGCAGGCCAATTTTTGCAGGTAAATTTTTTTGGTGATGAATTTAAAGTGAAAAAAGAATCATATTCAGATTTGCAAAGTATAAACATTCTGAGCTATAAATTCATTGCCTAAAACAGTCTGGTGTTAATGAGACACATCATTAATGAGGTTGCTAAATCTCACATGATGAGAAGAAAAAAAAGAAAAGGAGTAAAAAAACTAATTAAACGCTAATATTGAAATTGCATGTTATCTGAATATCGGACAGTCTTGATTATGAATAGACATTTATATTTTGTCACTGAATTAAATGAAACTCATTTTACGTTTCATATCTTTATAACCTTCTTTTACTTTAAGGATTTTCTCTGCCTTTTTTCACATTCACATTATTTCATCAGTTTGTGTAAGAGCCTGTCCCTGCTGGCAAGAGATGATGAAAGGTGGGGAACACGATGGTTGTGCAAACACACAAGCCCTTTTTCTAGAAGTCAAAGCATCACCTCTGAAGTGGAAGCTCACGCACCATGGCTGCATGTACCGTCACAATGCGACTGTACCGAAGGTGAACAGGAGGTCTAAGTCGATCCGACAGCTAAACAGTCGACTTTCCGAACACAGACTCCGTTGTCAAGCAGGTCATTTTGTGATTCAGTTTGTTTTCATTGTGACCAGACTGACGTGGTGCTGAGCTGTTCCGGCTTGGCATGTGAGAATTACTTTCTGGGAATAGGAACAACACCATAATGACATCTTTTAACTAAAGTGTGAAATTCAGGCTTGTGGCCATGAACTACAATAGGATTTCTAAAAATGTACAGTTCATTTTTAGTTTAATTGCAGAGGACATAAGCTGCCACTTTTGAATTTTTTTCTGGCTATCTTCATTTTGTATCCGCCCAAAAATCTGAGTTTAACAGGGACGTGTTCACTTTTGAGATCCACCGAAGGTTGTCTGCAGACATTAGTGTCTGCATCAGAGTCTAATTCGCAGCCTGAATCGGTTTTCTGTGGGTCTGATGTGAATGCATTAGCAGGATTGTGCTGTGCAGTGGATTAGAAACTCCCCAGTGCCTTGTGAGGTGTGTAGTAATATCAGACTTAGATGTTTCTACTGCAAACCGCACCCTGTGATCAGGCTTTCAATCCATGATGCGTGGCCTAATGACGGAGGCCGAGGTTCTCAGCGGGAGATCAGAAAATGTCAGGGAGGACAGAGCCAGACGGGCAGAAAGGTTACATAAAGCAAGACTAATATGTAAGATCTTCATATTAAAACATGGCATTCTTTTCATTTTAGCCAGGCACAACTTTAATCTAAAGCATATGCGCACGTCAGGGTTTTTTTGTTTTGTTGTTTTCAGCCACATGCTCACAACTGCTACAACTATAATCGGTGGTTCGTGTTCAGGTAGAACAGGTGATCAACAGGTGCGAGCTCTGATACCAGTCCTTCTCTGTTTGTGTCCCTTCGTGTTTGCACGTGCTGTTTGTGTTTCTCACAGGGGAACACCTGGGCTCAGCTGCACCTGGGCTCGTTGCCCAGTCCTCCATCTGACAGTGAGTGCTCACACACAAACAGGCGTGCACTGGAACACAGCCAGTTCCTGTTACCGGCTAAAGGAGGAAGCAGCAGCTGACATCCTATCCGGCAGTTCCCGGGAGACTCGACACCTTGAGTAAACCGACCAACTCAGAGCCACTTGAGAGAGAGCATTTAAGAAATCAGGCATACCAACAACCTGGTTTGCATTTAAAGGCATAAGCCTTGAAAAGTGTAGACAGCCCTCTCCAGGTTTTTTGTGATGTGAAAGAAAATGTAACCACAATGGATCGTTTCCAAAATTTTCTTTTACTAATTTTACTAACTAATCTTTTACTAATTTTTTTGATTTTTAAGTTCACCTGTAAAATGAGTATATCTATATTAGTGAGAAACTGTAAAAAACACAAAAATAACAGTAAAGCTGATTAATTTGGGGGGGAAAATCTCCGCTTTCCTCTGAGAATTTTTTATTTTTTTGTAATTTGTATCTTTTAACTGGAGCCATTGCTTGCAGAGAGTTTACAAAGAATTACAAAACAGACTTTATATAAAGGTGTCAGTCAGGAGAGGAATCTTGTAGTGTAAATTTAAAAGGTCTGATAAAATTGACTTAATGCTTTTGGGCCACAGCTTTAATACTAGACCTGGCTAAAAACAGCTAAAACTCTGTAGAAAACATGTTTTATATCAAACTTTTTTTTTCTTTTTAAATTATAGGCAAAGTTGGGAGAGTTTTGTTTGTTTCACAGACAATTCTAGCACATTATAAATGCATTATAAACCAAAAGTAAACATGCAAGCTGTTGCTTTCATATCATAATCTGTATTATAAACCATCTCTAAAAGACCTGAGAACACTAAAAAGATACGTCCCAAATAGTTTAACTGTCTGATATGTGT